ATATCACTTGGCATGCTTTCAATTATTATGCCTGACGGGATAATTAGCATGGATTTGCAAAGATAATGCATTTTATAATCTTAATCTCGATTCCTAACATGACGAATTAGTTATTTGGCATGGCGTGTGTGGTGTGACTCGCATTTGACGAGCCTTCGTGTACTCAGATATGTGACTTTTCTTAATATAGTAGCATATTGGACCGAAAACTTATTTGGGCCCAACCGTGGACTTTTTTGGGCCTCAACACCCTTCATCTTCATGATCTAGCTGGCTTTAAACAAATCGATGCGGCTAAGCCTCACGGTTCAAATCGCATTTAATGAGGTTGTCTCTCCTCCTCTTCTGCTGTCTGACTTTCTATCAGTTGTTGAGGTCAATAATTTCTTTTTTCAGAACCAATTATGGCACACCACGTGTTAGCAAGAAACTTGATTTCCCTTCTAATTCATAAATTTACATTGCCTTGCTAATTTATGAGTTTTTAAGAAAAGAAATAAACTTGTTATTTTGGGGATTCAATCATTATCTGTTTCAACATTCATTTAATTTTGGCTTTATAAACATTAATATAATCCTCTTCGGACATATTTTGTCCAATGAATTCTTGTCTTTTTTGGTTGACCAATTGTTGGTCAATGCTTTTAATATCCGGTGCTATCAGATGAGCTTTTGGGGCTTTAATCAACTGTTCAAAAAATCGGCCAATTGATAGTAAAAATTGAGTTGTGCTAATTTTGGTCCAAACACACGCCATAAAGGTGAGGCTTTGAATCTTCTTCTCTTCCCTCTAACTATTTTGAGATGTTTTGTTACAATTTATGTTTACCCTGAAAAGGACTCCCCGACATGTGCATGGGGTTTGGTCATGGATTTTGCTTGTTGCGATTGCGAAGGCGTGCCACTGTTGTTATTGAAAAACTCCAACAAATTGAAAATGGTAAGATTGGAAAATGCACATCGATATTGACTTTAATCAATCGATTATGGATTGGGCAGGGAACTGACCAAATGCAGGTTCTTTTCTATGCCTCAATTAAGAGGACTTCAATATTCATCTAGTGCGAAAATGGTAACTGAAAGAAGCTGAAATTGAACAGTAATGGAAATGATAGAAGTTTATCAGAATATTTCTCTATCAAAAAACTTGAAAGAAAAAGGAAATACATAAACAACACAGCCTGAATATTTCTCTATTCAGACCTAGATATATAAAATTAAAATGGAGATTGAAGATTTCTCTATTCAATCTTGTACAAGAAAAAATCATACCAAGAGTTGGCAAAGCAAAATAAAGAAAATTCCTCAGGAGTTGTGAATTGGGAATTCAAAGAATGGTTGTTTTAAGCTTTTGAGTTGAGTTTATAAACGTTGAGTCTGGTTTTTGTTCGTTGAGTTGTCTTTTTTTGCTGATGATTTCTCCTTCAATTTATAAAGAATAAGGTCAATTGAGTGCTGAGACAAGCAGCCAATTTAAAGTACCCACTTGCCATTGATTTTGGTGAGTGGGTTGCTGAAAATACAAGCAAACGCAAAAAAGTTGCTAAGAGGATTTCATGAGAAATGACAGAAGTTGCCACTATTAGACTTAAAGAAATCCAAAGTATTAGTCCACTTGCCATTGATTGGTGAGTGACAGCCAAAAGTAGTTGACTAAAAAAAAACATGGAGAGATAATGTGTAACAACCCGGTCCTTGATTAATATTTAATTATTAATTTATTCCAGTAAAAAACCATTATACCCTTAGAATATTTTCATGATTTAAAAGTTAACTTTTTGACCGGGAAGGAATTTGAGAATTTCAGTTATACCGTTACGTAGAGCGCAACGAGATGAGCCCGTAGACACGTAGTGTGCTCGAATCCGAGTTGTATTGAGGGAGATACAATCAAAATAAGTTCAGGGGCAAAATGGTAATTAGCCAGGTCAGATATTTTTAAATCTCTCTCTCTCTCTCTCTCTCCCCTCCCACCCCCCCCCCCCCCCCCCCCCCCCCCCGCCGCCGTTTCTCTCCTCTAGCCGTGGCTTCTTCAAGCCACCAGCACCACCACACAGCATGACCGGCGACGGGACCGCCATCACCCCAGCCATCAGTTCCGCCGCATCCCAGCCCCCGGCAGAAGCTCCGGCCGTCGGAAACAGCTCAAAAACAGCCGGTTTTTTACAGAACTTTCGAGCTCTCGTTCTCCGTCGTCTGACCACCAAATCAGACGAGTGAGGTATGGTTTTCTAGCTATTTTCCACGCTCTAGCTGCTGGTTGTGTAGGATTTCAGATATTTCAAGCGTAGATCATTCGATTGTTTAAGTTAGGTTTTAGTAGATTTTCGAGGGGAGATTCTGGCCATTTTGAGTCAGTTTTTGGGGTAGGTCCAAGAACAAAAGTGGCTCCAAATAGGGTGTTATACCTAGGGTAGGAGTCTTGAGCTGTGGTTTAGAGTTTTTCCGGCGCGTGTGGCGGCGCGTGGGCAGTAGGGTGGGGACCAGAGTCAGCTCAGGAATAATCTCCTAGTCCCCGCGAGCGCGTAGGATTTCGCGGATTTTAATTCGGATAACGTTTGAACCCCGAACGGATCTCGCCTAGTTGGTGATTCCCGGGTTCAGCAGGTTTGAACCGTTGGATCGTAATCATGTTCCAGTATGTTGATCTAGGTAATTGCAGGAGCGTATAGTATTTTACGGAGTCCCGGTTACTCTAGAAATGTCAGCCCTAGAGCAAGTTTTACAGTAAACAAACCAGTTACAGGTTAGGAACAGAGGAAAGAACTACGTGTGGCCTGATCCCTCAGAAAGGGTATGTAGGCAGCCTACAGTTATTAGGCACAGCCACGAGGTAGGGGCTCAGGGTTTATGTTACTGTTTTCAGGGCATTTTGGTCTTTTACGACCCACGGTTACCAGGTGTTAGTTTTAAACAGGATTCGGCCCGGATTTCAAAGTGGAATTTGGGTCGGGTCGTTTCAATTGGTATCAGAGCATTAGGTTAACTTCCTGTAGACATTGCATCACTTGTGCATCCTTATTTAAAAATTGCTGGACATGTTCTTATGTTATTTTACTTTATTGGTGTGGTTGAGTAAACAGACATCCAGAATGGTTTGAAAAAATTCGTTGAGGTTTTTATATGAAAAACATATTATTACATGTTTATATTTGTTCATTTGGTTAATGGTGTTGTAAGATTATAAATATGATTTTGGATTGATATGTTAATCAGGGACCGATATGGCTAACTAGCTAGCTAAGTATTTGATACATATATTCAGTGGTTGAGAAGGAAGAATTATAACTTTTGATTTTTTATCAGATTTTGGTATATATATATATATATATATATTATATATATAGATATATTTTAAGTTCAGATGATAACCAGTTTATTGAATAAGTTCAGTTGAGAATCAGTTTATTGAAAGTTTATGTAAATATCAGAGTATGATTTTCAAACCCATCATAGGGTACCCCCCCAGTTGCCTTGAGATAGTTTATGCCCCACGAGTATCGGGGACGCCTGAACCGTGTGGTGCGAGTATTGCGGTTTAGGCTGACTAATGGTCCCCTGAGACCTGCGAGCAACGCGGCTCGAATGGACTTGGTGTCTCCGAGACCTGCGAGGATTGCGGCTCATATTGAAGTTTTATCTCTGAGACTTGCGAGGAATGCGGCTCGGTTAACTTTGTGTTTCCGAGACCTGTGAGGATGGAATTGACGGATATCTAGAATTGACGGTATTAAAGGAATTGACGGATATCAGGAATTGACGGATCAGATATGGGGGTACACCTAGGTGGAGAGGATTTAAGTTTTTAGATGTTTTAAAACTAAATTAAAGATTTTATACAGTTACCATTATTTATTTAAACATCACAGTTGTTTTACAAGTAATAGATGGAGTATATATATGCATATATATATATATATATGTATTTACTTATGGACTTTATTTATTTTAGTTTAGTTTGCTTTAATTTATCTTAGTTTATTTTATCTAAGTTGTTTTATTTTATTTCATGTAAGTTGTTGGCTTTCATATTTTACTATTGGATATCGTATTAAACAGTTCCAATAATACTAGCATATTTTGCCCCACGAGTCTTACAGTTATCCAGACTGTGGGAGCTAGAATTGCGAATCAGGTTGACCAGATGTCTCCTGAGTCCAGCAAGGATTACAGAGCAGGATGAACTATATATTCAATGTTTTTCAGCAAGATTATTGCTTAGTAAGTTGTGTATAAGCAGGAATGCATGAGTTCAGTACCTTACTATATGCTTTTAAACATTTTAAATTTCATGCTGCTGAGCTAGATTACCAGAGTATTATTGCTGAGCTGAAAGTTGAGATTGATTAGCAGATTGATTTATTTGGTTTGTTACGACTTGAGACCTGAATATTACGATGTTTGATTGCTTGGTGTTGAGGCCCAAAAAATCCATGGATTGGGCCCGAGCAATTATCAGCCCAATACAATATTCCATAAGGGAAAAGAAAAAAAAGGGTGTATCGCATGCGAGTTATAATCTACATGCCACGCTAAATAAACAAATTATCATGCTATGATTCGCGATAAAATATGATTAACTCATGCTAAAATTAAAACAATCCTTCCCAAGGGCGATAAGGTAAAATATGCCGAGCAACATGCCATGCCGTTATTTCGCACCCAACCACGCTACAAGCCTAGGTGGGCCCAAGCCACTCAAAAAAACCCGGGGCTTGCTTGAGTGGGTTGTGGCATGGATGGTGATAAATCAACATGAGACCCATTGATGGACCAAGAAATGAAAAGTCTCGGGTTACTTGGGAGCCTCGAGACTCAAGCCTGTTTCTTAGGCCCAAACATGTGGGTAAGCACAAGAGAGAAAAGTAGCCCAATACCCAAGCAAAACAACCCAACCAAAATAAAGCCCAAACTAAGAAGCCCAATGTTTAGTAAAAGCCCTTTCGCTTAGGAAATCACCTTGGCCCATATAAAAATCCTAAAATAGCCCACAAAAAACCTCAATTTTTGGAGAAAGCAGAGGACACGTGAAGAGTAGATGGCAGACTCCTTAAGCAAAGCTGCTGGAAACCAGTCCCAAGCCAGAGACATCCAAAGAACCGATGAATACCATCCCGCATGCTGTCAGAAGCATCCCTTGGACCAGCATATATTTTCACCTCTTTTCCTCCATCAGATTCAGCCACGGAAGAGGAAAGAAAAGAAGAAAAAACAGCAAACCAAGAGTGGAAGCTCTCATTGCACAGCCGCGGGAAAGGAGGATGTTGAGCCCCCAAATCCCCTGAATTCATGAAAATAGACAGAAGCAATCTTTGCCAAGAAGGGGAGGTCAGAGAAGGGGAGGAGAAAGGAAGAAAAGCTTAGCCAAAGTAAGTAGAAGCCATTAGGGTTTCTTGAAAAATGGTGATTTCCGGCAGCTATAAATTGAGCCTTCCCCTACCCAACAAAAACAACTCACAACCTGCAGAGAGCAAGCTTTTCTCTCTATCTTGCAAAACTCAGACTCGTGCACTGTTCATCTTCTTCTCCAATTTGTTTTTCTGGCAGCTGCCGGAAGAACCCTGCCTTTCTTTTTTTCTCTTTCTCTAGTCAAAATTCCTCACAAAACACCTCATTCCTTACTTAAACATTTTCATTTCTCATAAACCAAGCCTAATTTCTCTCTTAGTGCTAAACCCATGTTGGTTTTGCTCCCCATGCCTCATGCCAATCATGCTGAGCTAAAAAAAAACCATCTGTAAGCATGCCAAAACTATCTGCAAGTCACTATTATTCTCATTGGTGAAGATTATCCAAAATATTTCCTAAGGTTTCGCTGCCCTTTCGAAGTATTTTGGGGCTTAATTTTCGAACCTAAACAAAAAGGGGCAATCTCCTCAGTCCGCCTTTTACAGCAGCCCAGCCCGTTAGCTGCAGGAAGAAAAAGTCCCCTACACTTGGATATGATTTAATGCATGCTGGCAGATGAGTTATATAAATATATATATTTGTTTTACATGCAGAATGTTTTGCAGGGGAGACTCTACCGAATTTTCGGTAGAAGTCGCATATGAATTTCATTTAATTTCAGTGAAAAGGGCAAATTAGTCTTTTGTACCCAGCAGTAGCCAGGTGTCGAACACTCATAGGAAAAGGGATTTTAGTTAATTATCAGATTAATGGAAGCAGAGTTTTAAGTTTATCAGAAATTCAGTTAATTAGCAGATCTTTTCAGAGTTTTATATTTCCTTAAGCCAGCTCAGGTATTCAGATATAAATGTATGGCCCTCAGATTCTATTGATTGCCTTATACATACAGTTAGTGAGATGCAAATGGTGAGTGCAGTTTCAAAAGAGCAAACTTGAGAACCCGAGTAACAGATGTAGGCTCAGTACCCTCACCTTTTTTGAGTGATGGGTATGCAAATTTCGGGGATAAAATTTTTATAAGGGGGGTAGATTGTAACAACCCGGTCCTTGATTAATATTTAATTATTAATTTATTCCAGTAAAAGACCATTATACCCCTAGAATATTTTAATGATTTAAAAGTTGACTTTTTGACCGGGAAGGAATTTGAGGATTTCAGTTATACCGTTACGTAGAGCACAGCGAGATGAGCCCGTATACACGTAGTGGGCTCGAATCCGAGTTGTATTGAGGGAGATAAAATCAAAATACGTTCAGGGGCAAAATGGTAATTGGTCGGGTCAGATGTTTTAAAACTGATCTCTCCTCCTCCGCCGCCCCCCCCCCCCCCCCCCCCCCCCCCCCCCTTCTCTCCTCCAGCCGTGGCTTCTTCAAGCCACCAGCACCGCCACACACCACGGCCGGCCACGGGACCGGTCAGGCTAGGACCGCCATCACCCCAACCATCGGTTCCGCCGCATCCCAGCCCCCGGCCGCTGGAAACAGCTCGAAAACAGTCGGTTTTTTACAGAACTTTCGAGCTCTCGTTCTCCGTCGTCCGGCCACCAAATCGGACGAGTGAGGTATGGTTTTCTAGCTATTTTCCATGCTCTAGCTGCTTGTTTTGTAGGATTTCAAATATTTCAAGCGTAGATCATTCGATTGTTTAAGTTAGGTTTCAGCAGATTTTCGAGGGGAGATTCCGGCCATTTTCGGTCAGTTTTTGGGATAGGTCCAAGAACAAAAGTGGCTCCAAATAGGGTGTTATACCTTGGGTAGGAGTCTTGAGCTGTGGTTTAGAGTTTTTCCGGCAGAGTGTTATCGCTTTAGGCACCATGCGCTGCCGGCGCGTGTGGCGGCGCGTGGGCAGTAGGGTGGGGACCAGAGTCAGCCCTAGAATAATCTCCTAGTCCCCGCAAGCGCGTAGGATTTCACGGATTTTAATTCGGATAACGTTTGAACCCTGAACGGATCTTGCCTAGTGGGTGATTCCCGGGTTCAGCAGGTTTGAACCGTTGGATCGTAATCATGTTCCAGTATGTTGATCTAGGTAATTGCAGGAGCGTATAGTATTTGACGGATTGTAAAACGGAGTCCCGATTACTCCAGAAATGTCAGCCCTATAGCGAGTTTTACATTAAACAAACCAGTTACAGGTTATGAAAAGAGGAAAGAACTACGCGTGTCTTGATCCCTCAGAAAGGGTACGTAGGCAGCCTACAGTTATTAGGCGCAGCCACGAGTTATTGGCTCAAGGTTTATGTTACTGTTTTCAGGGCATTTTGGTCTTTTACGACCCACGGTTACCAGGTGTCAGTTTTAAACAGGGTCGTTTCATAATGACCACCATCTCTACTTCTTTCTTTATTCATTCTTTAAGTCCACTTGCATTATTTCTTCTCTTCTTTCAAGCTTTTCACATGTATGTTGAGCTTTGGCTTTATTTTAATATTCTTCATCACAAAGCATATTAAAAGGTTTCCATCCACCCATTATTAGGTGAATGTAATCAATTAGGATTATAAAGCGTTTAAAAAGATTTTAAAAATCTTGGTGTATTCAATTTGGATTTAAACAAACTTTAAAAGAGGTTTTACAAGTCTGCGTGTATTCAATTTCGACTTGTATGAATTTTTAAAAAGTTCATTCAAATATGGGTATATTCAATTAGGATTATAAAAAAGTTGAATCAAATCTAGGTGTATTCAAAAGGCCATATATTTGGAAGGATTTCATTAAGTGATAAATTTTCGTAGGTTTTAAGGGGAGAGCTGTAAATAACAAAGGCCATAATAAATCCAACCTCCCCCAAGTATTTCATCAGACATTTTCTCTCGCCCTAGCTTTTCTCTTTGCAACAGAAGACGAACAGCTTCCTTCCTCCATCTGTGAAGGTATGCTCCCTATTTTTTCTTCGATCAATACCTCGTTGGGTTTTCTTTTTCCATGATTTTTCTTTATCATGTTTTTCTTGTTATTAGGGTATAGTTTGGGGTTAGAGTTTATGCTTGTTACTAGGGTTTTCGTTAAACATAATTTCATTTCATGTTGTTGAAGGAAACGATGTTATGAATTTGGCTTTTTATTTCATGTTGTTTAAAATTTTATTTCATGTTGGTACAAATCAAGTATCAGAACATCTCTTGAAATTGGATCACCATTAGATACATTGACAACAATGCTACTATATAAAATAATTTTACTTTGTATACTTTCCATCTATTTTATTCATTTATAATTTGTTACGTGTATTATTAACAAAGACATTGATAGGGAGGAGTTTAATAAAGTCATGGCTTTGATGAGATCTCAAAGCAAACAAAACAAGGATGGCCAAAGGCTCAAAGTTTCTGTAAAAGACGGAGGCCTACTTGAGCGCTTCTTTGGCAAAGATGGCAAAAAAAGTCTCACATGAAACATTTGAGTTTTTTTCCTCTGGCAATCAGCTGATCTTTCCCCATTTGTTTTCCTTCTATCTATTTCTAAATTTGAAGTCTGGAATAAAAGCGATACAAATATTAAGAAAGTTTATTAAAAAAATTATATAGAAGTTTTCTGAAAGTCTATCAAGTTCTATACAAATTCTAAATTTCCATCAAGTTCTATGAAAGGTGGCACTTAAACAAAATCTTTTTAAACGCTCTAGAATCCTAATTGAATACACCCCCTATTTTATTCTTCTTTGAATCAACTCACTTGTGATGAAGCCCCTCCATTGACGAAGTGAAACTTGATTAGCAGCTACTAAATTTCTTCTCCGAACATGCCTTGATGCATAATAAACTGGGAATGCTAGATTGATCCAATTGCTGCCAATTTAGGATATATTGTTCCCCACATAAGTAGGAACAACATTCAAGACGAACTTAATTCCATTTGAGCAATAGAAAATCTGATTTAGCATGGTTGCAACTGACTGGTCGTCACAGACTGCTGTCATGAATAGAAATTATGATTAATGCCCTGAAGATTCAATACTTGTGCAAATGATGCCAAATTTGGATATGTCATATTAGACATCCAAATAAACAAATTTCATGAAGAACGAATGTTCATTTGAAGACTAGAAGCTGGCCCAAATTGGGCCATAATTAGGCCCGAATTGCCACTGTTTTCAGCTTTTGCTGCTGCTGATATGCTTCTAATGTTTAATGTCGCGAGGATTCTACACTTATCCAAATGATCCCAAATTTGGATATGTTGCAATAGACATAGAAATGAAAAACTTTCAAGAAGGATGAAACGTGATTTGAGAGATGGAAGTTGAAGTTTGGGCCCACTCCAACTGACTGCAGCAATGCATGTCTAGCCATATTCTGGCCATTTTAATGTTCATGGAACATTATGTTCCATTTTAGGCAAAAATGCGATTTTTGGTACAAACAGTTTCTTTTTTTGGCAAATACCTTTATTTTGTTTCAGTTTCAAGTTTATGCCTTGTGCTTTATGTTTGACTGGGTGTTGAAAAGGCTTTGCTCAACAAGACTTCATAATTTCTAGAGACGGGTGAGAATTGGGTTCTACTGTTGACCACTTGGAAAGCGCTCTCTCTCTCTCTCTCTCTCTCTCTCTCTCTCTCCTCGCCACCTGTTTATGTCGACATGCAAGCCAAATGTTAACACTATTGGTAGTCTTGTGCTGCTTTCAAAGAAGCGGATAAGGTCAATAATAAGAGCCATGTAAATGATGGAAAAAAGCGTGGTGGGCCTTCGTATCAAAAGGAGCTTTCGGTAAAAAGGTTATTTCCGATGTTTTTATATATACACATGTCATAAAGTCGTGTTTCTATGTCATGCCTACGTGGACTTTTAAATGTAAATTATTATAACTCGAAACTTTAATTAAAATCGAGTGCTGCCACCCATTCACATGTCATAAAGTCTTATTTCCCCATTCCCTTTATTTTCAAATTTTTAAAAACAAGTTTAATTTTTTGTAAAATAACTTATAAGGACTTAGTAACCCACCTAAAAAAAGCTAGAAATAAATGTAAGGATTCAGCTATCAACGAGGACGAAGAATAATGATAGAGGCCCTGGAAAAAAAAAGTCTCTCTAGAGTTTCTCTCTAGGAGAGCAGGATAGGCCAAGACGGCATAGGTAGCTGGTGAAAGTCCAAGTATACCAGAGAGTCAAGTGGGTGGGGTAGGGAAGTACAGTTTGGCATACATGGAAGAGATGGTAAACCGTTTTGCATCCCAATTTGCGCTGACTGAGGAGGAACAACAAGAATTGGTGGTTGAATGAGGTGATGAAAGTCTGCTTCGAACCACAAAGTTCCTTCTAGTCGGCAAAGTCCTTACGAAGAAACCTTTTAACAAGGAGGTGTTTAAGCGCACTATGGTGATGTTATGGAGACCAAAAGCTCGGGTGGAGATTGTGACTTTGGAGGTTGATTTGTTCATGTTTTCTTTTTCCTCACGACATGACAGAGCGAGAATTCTAGGAGGGGGACCTTGGACCTTCAACCACTATCTCCTGGTGATGTCTGAAGCAGATGATGTGGTTAACCCATCCTGCATTCCTTTACACAAACAGGAGTTTTGGATTTAGGCTCGTGGGCTTCCATTAGTTTTCATGACGACGGCCATGGGAAAAGAGATAGGGACTGCATTGGGCGACTTTGTACTCACTGATCAACGCAAAAGGAATGACTGCTATGGAAATTATCTGCGTATCAGAGTAGGCATTGATATCTCAACTCCTCTTCGAAGGTGTATGCCAGTGCGACTTCTTGGAGGACAATCCACAACTCAGTGGGTGGATTTACGCTATGAAAGACTTCCACACACCTGCTATCTCTGTGGAAAGTTTGATCATATTGAGAAAGAGTGCACCAAGTTCACAGGAGATATTACGGATGATTTGGCCAAGCCCTACGGTAAGTGGTTCCAGGAGGATGTCTATGGACCAGATTTTCGCACACCCCAGGTTTGTCGTTTCGGATTGCCGTCGCCTATGGCATGGTCGAGACGAACCCCGAGTGACAGTGAGTCGAAGGAAGCACCGGTGGACTCCAATGATGGCAGAGGGCGGCAGGACGGTGGGGATTCGATTAGGGCTGACGTGGCCTCGCATTTAGGGTCAATTAATGTTCCAATGATGGCTGCGGTTATACATCATAATTCTGCCATGATGGAGGGTGAAACGGTTGGGGGGGGGTGCAGCAGATGAAGAAAGTCAATTATTGCCAGATTTGAACGTTGGGCTAGTACGTGGAGAGGCTAGGGAAAAGGAGAAGTTTATTGGTGCCATTAATACAGGGCTGGTTTTCTCAACGGTTGCTGATGGTAATGCAGACTTGATGCAATCTCCCATTAACTCAGCCGTTCACGCAGCATTAACTCAGGATTTTCATGACGCCACCCCTTTGGCCGATCACTGCTCAAGTGGGAGGATTGGCCCCAATCAATGCTGTGATTCTAAGGAAAATTCGGTTGGTGCAGATGGGGTTACCTATGACCAACATGGGCCCAACGTAACTGGTGAACAACACGGGGGCTTCACGGGGGACATGTCTCCCGAGGATCCTTTCGGGCTTAGCCCAATTATCCGACAAATTACAAAGGAAGCAAAACTGAAAACAAAGCAGGCCCATGCAGGAAGGAGTATATCCAGGGCTCATAGCAACATGCAGAATACCTCCAGGGCTCATAGCAACACGCAGGATCATCATGAGAGTAGGATTATAGGAACTCTTAATAATAACGGCAAGAGATGTGCTAACTTGACAGACAGTACTGCGAACACACAAGGGCAGAAGAGGTGATGCTTGCCTTCTGTCTCTTCTTCTTCATCGCTGAGATTGGCGGGAGCTGGCGCTACCCAGCCCCGCCGGGCACCATGAATCTTCTCAGTTGGAACTGCCAAGGGCTTGGGAACCCTTGGACAGTTGAAGCATTACGGTGTCTTGTCCGTAATGAGGATCCCAAAATTGTGTTTCTTTGTGAAACACGTTGTTCCAAGAGCGTTATGGAATCGGTTCAGCTCAAGTTGGGCTTTCGTTAATGTATTATGGTGGAAAGTAATGGGGCCTCTGGGGCCTTTGTGTGATGTGGACAGATGAGTTAGCAATTTCCCTAAGGTCTGCCAGCAACAACCATATCGATACGGAGGTGGAAGTCTTGGGGGTTCAGGGGAGATGGCGTTTCACAGGTTTCTATGGCTGTCCTGTTACAGCGGAACGTCACCGCTCATGGGACCTTTTGATCAGGCTAGGAGCAACCAATTCATTGCCCTGGTTATGTTGTGGAGATTTCAACGAAATTCTGACAGCGGATGAGAAGACAGGGGGGAGGACTAGAGGGGCACGACAGATGCAAGGGTTCCGACATGCAGTGGATGAGTGTGGCTTCAAGGATTTGGGTTTTTCTGGACCAAAGTTTACTTGGTGGAGGAATAGTCCAGAGGAAATTCGAATCCGACTTGACCGTGCTCTAGCTACTACAGATTGGTGTACTCGTTTTCCTGGAACAAAAGTCTTGCACTTAAATCCCACGAAGTCTGATCACTTGCCTATAAGAATTACAATAAGCAAGAGGATGTTATCAAATACCAGGCATCGGAACCTATTTCGCTTTGAGGAGATGTGGGTACAACATGAGAATTGTATGGAGACAATAAGGGAGGAATGGCTCCAGCCTGAAAGTGGCTCTGCACCTAGAGCAGTTACTGAAAAATTAAAAAGAACCCGGCTTCGACTGTTAGGTTGGAGTAGAGGTATTTTTGGCTCCCTTCCACATCAAATTAAGTCTATCCAGACTAAACTAGGGGAGCTACTGGAAGCCCCCTTAACCCCTCAGACAGTTGAGACCAGGAAGGAACTTACTGCAAAACTAGACTCGCTTATGGCCAAAAATGAGATTTATTGGCGACAACGGTCTCGGGCACTTTGGCTAAAAGCGGGTGACCGTAACACAAAATATTTCCACTATAAAGCTTCAAGTCGCAAGAGAAGGAATACTATTTCTGGACTGGAAGATGAGAATGGCATATGGCAGACGTCAGAACCCGAGCTGGAAAATACAGTGGTCCATTATTTCCAGCAACTTTTTTCTTCCAATGGGAATACAGATTATGAGGAGGTGGCTGATGTAATGAGGGGCCGTGTGTCGGAAGAGATGAACAGGAAGCTTTTAGCTGATTTCACAGCTGAAGAAATTAAACATGCACTCTTCCAGATGCACCCTTCAAAAGCCCCAGGTCCAGATGGCTTTTCTCCTTTATTCTACCAACAGTACTGGGATGTGGTTGGTGTCGACGTGGTGTCAGCTATTCTTCACTTCCTCCATACAGGTCAGTTGCTGAAACGGATAAATTATACTCATGTGGCTCTCATCCCCAAGGTCCCTGACCCCAAAAATATGACACAATTGCGCCCAATCAGTCTGCGTAACGTTCTCTACAAAATTGGGGCTAAGGTCTTGGCTAATCGCTTAAAGGTCATCCTTCCTGCTTTAATCAGTGACTCGCAAAGTGCATTTGTCCCTGGGAGAATGATTTCAGACAATTCCATTGTGGCCTTTGAACTTCTCCATTTCATGCATAAAAGAACACACGGCAGGCAGGGATACATGGCTCTTAAACTAGACATGAGTAAGGCTTACGATCGAGTTGAATGGAATTTCCTGGAGTCCTTGATGCTAGTGATGGGTTTTGATCGGCGATGGGTCCAATTAATTATGGCATGTCTGACATCAGTCTCCTACTCTTTCCTGTTGAACGGAAACCCGGTTGGTTATGTCATCCCACAGCGTGGCTTGAGACAGGGTGACCCTCTTTCCCCCTATTTATTTCTCTTATGTGCTGAGGCTTTCTCGGGGCTAATCGTGCAGGCTGAACAAAACGGTACCCTCCATGGTGTCAGCCTATGTCGGGGAGCTCCCACTGTTAGCCATCTTTTTTTTGCAGATGATAGCTTCTTGTTTTTAAAAGCAAGTCAAAGTGGTTGTGCACAGTTGAAACAAATCCTCCAATGCTATGAGCAGGTGTCAGGTCAAAAAATAAACCTTGATAAAAGTTGTGTGTCCTTTAGTCGAAATGTGGCGGATGAAGACCAAGAGCTTTTTGCCACAACGTTGAGAGTTAGGCGAGTTGCCCAGCATGACAGATACTTGGGTCTGCCTACTCACATTGGTCGTTCTCGGGGACAATGTTTCAACTATCTTAAAGATTGCATCTGGAAGAAAATACAGGGCTGGAAGGCAAAGTTATTAAGCTTTGCTGGTAAAGAAGTTCTTCTAAAAGTGGTTGCACAGGCACTGCCCATATACATGATGAGTTGCTTTCTTATTCCAAAATTTTTGTGTGAGGAAATCCAGCAAATGATGGCTTCCTACTGGTGGGGAGCGCAAGAAGGGAGGCGAAAAATCCATTGGTTAAGCTGGAAGAACTTGTGTAGACCAAAACATGAGGGTGGTCTTGGTTTTCGGAATCTTTATGCTTTTAATTTGGCTTTGGTAGCCAAGCAAGTATGGCGTTTGGCTCATAACCCACACTCTCTGGTGGCTCGTCTCCTCAAAGCTCGTTACTATAGGGACTGCTCCATCTTGGAGGCCACTCTGGGAAACTCCCCCTCTTACGTTTGGAGAAGCTTGTGCCAGGCTAAAGTGGTCCTTGAGAGAGGATCCCGCTGGCGAATTGGTGACGGCCAGACTGTTCGTATTTGGGAAGACAGATGGTTGCCAACTCCTGTTTCTTTCAAGGTCTTGTCTACTCCTGTGACGGAGCATGGTAATACTTGTGTCAGTTTCCTTATTGATCCAGTTACTTTGCAATGGAAGACAGATATTCTAGGAGCTTGGTTTTCTGCGGAAGAAGCAGCAATCATACATAAAATTCCCTTGAGTTTCCGCCAGCCACCGGATACGTTGATCTGGCACTTTGAGAGACATGGCCATTACTCAGTTAAGAGCGGATATGAGGTAGCAAGGCAATATCTTCTCCAATTAGGGGGGGATGTCGTTCAAACCAATGGTACGGCCAATGGGATTACTGCACCAGTCTGGAGAAAAATATGGGAGGTTCGTGTCCCGCCGAAGGTCCGCCTCTTTTTGTGGAGAGCCATGCTAAATATTCTGCCCACCAAAGTCAACTTGAAGAGGCGGGGCGTCGCTGAGCTGGGTGGGTGTGTGTTTTGTGGAGAGGAGGAAACCGGCTTTCATGTATTTGTGCAATGCCCAATGGCTGAAGCGGTTTGGCATCACTGTTCATGTTGGGGCTCTCTTCAAAGGGTTGTGGCTGTTGACCTCACAGCGTGGTTCCAAGATGTTGCCCTCACCCTTTCAGCCCCTGAGTTAGAGCAAGTCATGATTTGTATGTGGGCTCTGTGGAATGAACGTAACCAAGTGGTTTGGAATGACCGTTGGCGGAGTGTGTCAGAAATTGTTAGTGGAGCCATCCGGCTGTTGCATGATTGTTATGAGCTTCAACCTCCTTTGATCCCTCCATCTAGAGTCAAGGCGAAGTGGCAGCGTCCGCCCTTGGGGTCTATCAAAATCAACCTGGGGGAGGCTTGTCGGGGTGCAACAGGGACTGGGGGGATTGGAGTTGTGGTTCGTGACCATGTTGGTACTTTTCTTGCATGTAAACTAGTGGTTGTTCAGGGGGTTTCCAACCTTTTGCATGCAAAATTGCTAGCCTTGAAGGAGGGGCTCTTGTTTGCCCAAAGATGGCCTTATGTGCAGCGGCTCATTGAAGGTGTTGGTCAAGGAGTTGGTATTGTTCTAAGCCAAGTATCACAGGATTTGTCCCACTTTGGTTGCTTAGTTGACGACTGTAAACTGTTACTAGTGCAGCAGGGTAGTATATTAGTACAACATGTGATGAAGGAGGCTAATGAGGCGGCTGCAAGACTTGCTAGGATCGCTTTACACTCCCACGGAGCGACTGAGTGGTTTGGGGACCCCCCCAGTAGTTTTGCTTGATGCCTTAGTGGCAGACTCTTTTTAATTCCCTTGTTCTAGAAATTTTATTGTACGGCTGGCATGGGTGGTACTCTTTCCTATCCCGGGGTTTTATCCCATGTGGTTTTCCTCGGGAAAGTTTTAACGAGGCCACCTTAACATGCCCTTTTGTACACAATTTTATAGTTGAATGGAATGCAACCCATCGCTTTTCCCCACAAAAAAAAAAAAAAGAAAACTAAATTTGTCTGAAGAGTTAATTAAATGTGAATTCTAACAACTTTAAAAAATTATATTATAATATTAAAAAAATATTTAAAATATCGTAAAAGAAAAACATTAAAAACTTGGAAAACCCATCATCACTTCCTTCTTTCCTAGCCCTAGCCAACGAGCCACCACCCAAATAGCACCAGCCACCTAGCAACCACCATATACCACAACCCCAACACCCACCCGCCCAGCTAACTCTCAAGACACCTAAGAACATTTGCAATCATGTTCCTTATTTTTTTAGTTAAAATTTAGCTAAAAAACACACAAAAGCTATTTTAGAGCATCTCCAACACAGTTGCTATACTCTGATCCTTTGCCATTTTGGCTAGAATGAGGGCAAAACACAGCTCTAGCATACTTGTTATTTAGCTCTCTATTTTGGAGAACTCCCTGTTTGAGTTTGGTGGCTCTCTACAATTAGAGATGAGGAGAGAGAAATTTAGGGTTCTCTCCATTTCTTCCTCTTCTCTTTCTCTAGGCCCACAACCCTACCTCACCTCTTGCTTTTTGATCTTTTAATGAACTTTTAATTTAGATAGGAGGAGAGATAAATAATAAAATATTAGAGATTAGCCAAAATAGAGAACATTGTTGGAAAAAATATGTTTTAAGTAGTTTGCTATAATAGCTTTCTAGCCATTTTGGCTAAAAGACTCTCCTGTAGCATCTCTAGCATAGTTGTTATACTATGATCCTCAGCCATTTTGGCTAGAATTAGGGCAAAACGCATCTCCAATTGACTTGCTATCTGGCTCTTTATTTTGGAGAACTCCTTATTTAAGTTTTGTAGCTCTCTATATTTATAGAGGAGGAGAGAGAAATTGAGGGTTATCCATTTCTTCGTCTTCTCTCTCCCTAGGCCCATAACCATCTCTCACTTACTTTTTATTTTTTTAATGAACTTGTGATTTAGAGAGGATAAGAGAGAAATAATAAAATAATATAGATTAGCCAAAATAGAGAACATTGATGGAGGAAATATTTTTTAAGTAGTTTGCTATAATAGCTTCCTAGTCATTTTAGTTAAATTTGGCTAAAATTTAGAGACTCTCTTGGGTATACTCTTAGGAGCTCTCTATAAAATTTGAACTGCAATCACACTCCCTAGTTTAGGGAGTCATAAATACTATAATTATTTTTTAATTCAATATAATTGGTGGCTAAAATTTAGAGACTCTCTTGGATATGCTCTTAGGAGCTCTCTATAAAATTTGAACTCCAATCATACTCCCTAGCTTAGGGAGTCATAAATACTATAATTATTTTTTAATTCAATGTAATTGGTCCACCTCTATACAAAATAATATTAAAAAATAGTTAGCATTAATTAAAAGTTTAAAATTGACAAGATCCTCCCCGGATTCCCCCTTGGAATCCATGACGAACCCTGCTTCCCATTCGACATCTACCCAATGTTGGACCCACTTTACCTATTTACCTTATTTAAACGGATAAACAGTTCGACTTCTACCGAAATTTCGGCAGAGTCTCCCTTGTAATTGGAACAATTCCCAAATTACAGTACCTGCAAACAAGTACATAAATAACCCCAAATTCCAGCATGCACAAGGTAATGGCACACACAATAGCTAAAATTAAGGAAATGGGCCTCACGCCTTCTCCCCAAACTCAAACGAGCAACCAGAGCAACTAAAAGTTTAATTTACAACCCGAGAATAAGTAAAGTAGGCAAAATATAAAGAAGAAGTTCCTACAGAGTGAACAGCCACGATGCTTCGGCGTGGTGGTCTCGACCTCTGATATCTAGGACCTGAGGGCGCAAAATATAAAATGTGAGTGGACGAAAACAAAATGTTTAACATAATTTATATGCAACGTAAATAACCCCTCCGTTTTATAAAATAATGGCAAGCAACAAAATCCTTTGTTTGTATACATATATACAAATTGATACTTGAAAAAAATAGTCCAATTTAATATACTTATAACAAAATATACGATAAAGAAATTCATTTAATTAATACTTCTCACTTTCTTGGAAAACACGAACTTAATCATTTAGTCTTTAATGTAATACCATATAATCGAAACTTCCAAAATAATCTTGTTAATGTAAAATATAAACATCAAAACCCAAAATATCCTTTTCCTCCCACAACCATACCCTTTCTTAGGCGTATGCTTGCAAACATAAAATGTCAAATAATTTGCAAATACCCAATGTCAATAAGTATCTACAAACTTGTATCGGGGAAGGAATCCAATCGGGGGATTGTTTGACTAGACTACATAGAAGAATCCTCAATAACCATGTGGCTAAGGAACGAGCCGTCCAACCGGGGTACTGAGCTCCCAGACACGCATAGTAGAATCCTCAATACTCATGCGGCTAAATTAAGTCCTACGCGAGCAGACTGTCAGGCCAAGGGCCTATGAAACACCTCACCAAGTGTGTCTGGGTTCCGACATATCCAAGTATCCAAGTGTTGGGGAGGTACATAGGGTGGTGCTAATAGCACTCCAATATAGTATATTCCATATCCCAACTCATATACCATACCCATATCCCACATACATAATATTTCAATGTACCCAATCCCATATACATAGACATCTGGATAATAATAGCGTCCATAACTCAATACCCAATATTTATATGTAATATAAATATCAAACTCTCAAAAGCATAAATTCCATAACCCAAAATATTCTTAAACCCCAAATATCAAAATAAACTCCAATAATTCCATAAAATACTATAATCCACAAAATTAACAATATTATAATTTCATAAACTCTATAATCAAAATTAGATAAATATGGAAGACAATCCATAAAATATTCATAATCAAACACATATCACTCAATCCATATACTTTAATAATAACCATAATAACACTAATAATCCCTAGAAAACCCATGTCACAATCCGATAAAATCGTAGTCAAAACATATATCAAATCCCAATAAACCAAATAAGCCAAGTTCTAAATCAAATGTCATTCATGCATGCAATTCCATATTGGAAAAATAATGCTCATTTAAAACAATGTCCACTCAGAACAAGTCCACGTTGCTTAAGACCTCTTCCTCTGGAATACACGAAGCAACAGTACCTAGTTCGATGATTTTGGCCGCCGGAGTCGCCGGAAATCGCACAAACACCGCTGGCGACAAAACAAAGGTTTTGGCTCGATTTCAGGTCCAAAATAGTGACCAAGCTTGGAGTTTTAACGGTGGAAATCGGTCGGGGTGTTACAAAAATATGCGAATTAAATTATAGGGAGCCATTAGGAGTCCTTTCTCTCTTCTCATATTTAGAAGCTCTTAGAAGTCTCCCTATTTTAGGAAGTCAATAGGGAGCAGAATTGTCTTTTGTGTGCGAGACGAAGAGAGAGAACGATGACCCCTAACCCATATTTGAATTTGGGTTCTTTGTGTGTAGTGTGTGTGTGTGTGTGTGAGAGAGAGAGAGAGAGAGAGAGAGAGGAGAGAGAGAGAGAGAGGAGAGAGAGAGAGAGAGAGAGAGAGAGAGAGAGAGAGAAAGATAGAGGGTTGTTCGTTTTCTTAAATTTTTTCTCAAAAAAAAATTATTCATATTTTAATCAATTTAGTTTTAAGGAAGCGAGTCCCACATTTGCCACGTCATCACTAAACAGATTCTTTAACAGTCATTCTAACGGCAGAACCACATGGCAACAAATTTGTAAACATAGGGTACTTTATTGTTAAAATTGTGTTTTTAAGGACAAACATGCCTTAAGGGTGAGAATTCAGGGTACAAAACTGAAATTAACCCTAATCTAAACATGCTAACTAGAGTAACCATGCTCCAAGGCTGCAGATTCAATTTAAATACCAGTATAAACAATTCATTTAAATATGAATGGAAATTAGTCAAAAGGCCCAATGTTAATATTTTAGTTGAACACCTTGACAAAAATTCTATTTATATTTTTTGACTCCAATAGTTTAGATTAAATTAAAATAGAATACGTATCCGTAAGACATGTTTGTCCCTGCACTCTCAATTTTAATGATTACATACCCTAAGCTTTTCAATTTTTTGCAATTTAGTTACGGTGTTAGTCTTACCATTACAATTTTTATTAATTGTGAGTATGGCATATGTGGGACCCATCTTTTAAAACTTAAATGGCTTAAAATATTAATAAAACATTAAAAAATAATTACAAAAGGAAAAGATTTATAAACCTAAAACGAAACCACATCAGCTACCCCCTTCCCCGACCCCCAATTCCTAGCTCCACCCCCACAGCCTCAGCCACACCACCCAGCACCACCCAACCACGAAGACAGAAGACGCCATGGCAGGACCTCAAGGATAAGGTCAAGCAAGGTTATGGACCTTGACAACCTTAAACCCTAACAAAAAATAAACAAAAAAACCAACATGAAAAAAATAAGGAGTTTCACTAAAACACCCAAAATGGGGGCTGAAATTATAAAAAAACCCAACACCCAAAACACTTTATAAACACACCCAAAACCCATCATTACACACACTCAAAACCCATTTATAAACACACCCAAAAAATATACAATTGTTGATTTTGGGGTTGATTTTGGGTGTGTTTCTATGTTTAAATAGTGCTTGGGTTTTTTTATAAATACATGTCTAGGATTGGTTTTATTTATAAATTTGTAAAAAAAATAAAGTCTCCTTCCCAAACCAAGTCCCAGCCTCGCCGCCCAACCCGCCACTAACAACCCGCCAACCTACCCGCTACTCAACTCTCTTTTTCGCGCCCACTGCCTAGATTCATCCCCAAAAAGGCGAGGCCTTCCATAACCCAACCAAATTCGTACCGCCTCTTTTCCCCAAGCCCTATTCGTAGTGGCTTTCGACGACGCGGTTCAAATAAGCAATGAGAGGTTCAGTTCGTTACCCCCCACTGTTAGGGTTTTGATGGCTTTAGAATCTGGGTGGAAGGGTGGGGATGGGGAATGGTTTCTTTGGCATGCGTTTTTGCTGATCCGGTTTTCCTGGGAACATAGAAAAAAAAATTTCGAATTCAGTTTCTATTTTGTGTCTTCTTTTTTCGAACAAATCCCAGCTCTTGGTTCATGTGGTTGTTGGGTGGTGGATTTTCTTTCTCTTCCAATTGCAGAGGAGTAGCATATTGTGGCGTGGGGTACATCCTGTGGTTGCGAAGTTGGGGTGGTAGAGGTTGGGAAGGGTCGGGATGGGGATAAGGTTTTATTATTTTATTTTTAATTATTTTATATATTTTTTTATTAATATTTTAAGCCATTTTAGTTTTAAAAGGTGGGTCCCGCACATGCCACGTCAGCAATTAATAGAAATCTAACAGTAAGACTAAAGGCAAAACCAAATTGCAAAAAAATTGAAAATTTAGGGTTTGTAATGGTTAAAATTGAGAGTGCATGGACAAAGATACCTTACTGATAAGAGTTCAAGGTACTAAATTGAAATTAATCCTAAAAAAAAGAATATAAAACATATTTTTTTCTCTAGTTTACTATAAGGATGATTTTATTTGAACCCCACAATCTTCTCTTTTGACCCCATAACATTTTAATGAAATTTAAAATTACTCTATACACCTATTATTTCTTCCTAAATTACCCTATGTTTGTGCCAAGAAATCCACACGCCAGCCCATTTTTTACAAAGGAACCCAGGAACAGAAAAACAGAAGATTGGGCCTTGACTCCAAAAGCAGCCCAAATCAAACATTAAGAGGCCCATGTCTTTTTGCAAAATTGGCAGAGGATAGAAGAGCACAAAGAACAAATAAAATCATCACCAAGCAAGTCGATAAAATTCTAAGAAGAATTAGATCGGGCCCAGCCTCTAAATTTCTCACCATTGATCTCAATCCCAGAGTGCAAAGTCAGCATATTTTTAAAGTCTATTCACAAAGAAAGCCACGTGACTACCTGACTTTGAAAAGTCAACAATTTCAACTATTACAAGGGACTTGACGGGAAATTAATGAAGGCAGGTTCTACAGGAAGACTTCTCCAGTCTTTATAGTCAAGGAAGAAGATCAAAATCCCTTTCTATATACAGAAAAAATTCTGCATCAGAGCATGCATCATTTCCAAGGGATAAGCACACTACATTTTCTAAAGAGATAAGTAGGGAGCAGGGAGTTGTTCATCAAGAAAAGCAAACTAACCATCACGGTAGATTGAATTCTTACAAAGAGCAGTTAAAGGTTAAAAAAGGGATTAGGTTTTCTTTCAAAAATAGAGAAGTGATCACCATAAGAACTGACTGTTGATGGCCTTTTTGACAGAATAGATAAAATTCCCCTTTTCTTTGACATTTAATATAAAAAGATCTTGCTTTTAGAAAATCTGCCACCCATTATTAAAAGATTAAAAATCTCACTCCATCATTTTCTATAAATATGAGAGGAGGTGAACAAATCAAAGGACAAAAAATCAATCAAAAACAAAAACTCAAAATGATCACTTGAGCTAAAAAACCTTCAAAAACACTGAAGCAACCAAAGCTCATTGAGCCACAAGAAACAAGTCAGCTATAAATTCAGAATCTCTAACTTTAGTTCAGTTTAGAGAAATAGTCATACAAAGCGAAATTTCTCTCGTTACAAATTTGGTTTAGCATAAGCCAAATCAAGCAAAGTCCGGGTTTTGACAAATATAAAAACCTCAACAAATTTATGGAGAGCCCTGATCAAGCAGAACATGTACTACAGTGCAGTTTCAGCTCAGTAATCATCAAATCTAGCCACTTCTGCCCCTTCCAGACTGAAGACGTTTCAATTCTGTCCTTTCAAAAAGCCTTCTAGGGCTTGAAATAGATTAAAGCTCTACTAAACTCGAACGTTGGTATCGATTTACAGCTGAAACTTGATAGTTAAAGGTGTTGATAGTCCAATCCAGAATAGAAATACCCTGTCCAGCCTGGATCAGAAGAGTCTATCCAGGCAGAAATTGAAGTCCAACGCTTTTTTTGTCTTTTTTAGAGTTAGTCTTTCCTTTTGAGTTTTGTAAAAGGCAGTTTTGCTTGAAGTTCACTTTCTTATCATTCATTCTGGACAGAACTACTAGTCTCGTATTGTGAAAAATTGTGAAGTTCTCGCCAGTCTGAGGCAAGAAAAGAACTTACTTGGGAGATATTCCTTATCTAAATTCACAATAGCTTGTTCAGAAATCAGTAACTTGAGGTGCAAGTTATCCATTTTGAAAGAAGTCTGCTAGGGTTTTTATTGCTAGCAGTGGCACGCTCATACACAAAAGAAAGTTGACTTGTTGACCACAAATAGTTTTCAAGACAATGGGGAACTTTACCCTACCATCACAGGAACAAATCTAAAACGGGTGAACACCCTCACTAACCTAAAAACATTACACACTTTTTTTTTTACACCTCATCAATTAACCCTCGCAGATCTACAAAATCGTGTGTATCCCTAAACCCTATCGGAAACGACACTACACCAAAAGGTGGCAGCTTCTGCTGCACATCACCTTCAAAACGCCAAGCTTTGAACTCCAAGGTCTTGAAGAACGACGCCACCAATCCAAGGTCATGAAGAACGCAGGTAAGCCTTTTATAATGTTATGTTTATGAGTGATAATTCAGAAATTGGATATATTTTAGAGTATAGAGATGTATTCATGGTTGTGATTTTGTTCAAAATGTATGTATGGGTTTGAACCTGGTCTTACGAAAATAGCCATAACTTTCGGTGGGTTACCACCGAAATCGTTTGTGTTTTCAACAGTAGTCTACCGAATTCGTTATTGAGTTTGTACTTAATATTTTTTTTCATATATGAAGAGGACTAGTAGAGGTATTATTGAGGCTGCATCATCTCAACCTGATAGAGAGCGTCCCATAGCCTCAACCAAGAGACATAGAGTGGCGAGGGTAGCCTCTCAAGAGGACCAACCCTAGCATGGTCCCCCAAACTACTCCGAGAATACTACAGAGGTTCAGAATGTAGCTGCTACTCTTGATACTAATGTTGAGGTAGATGCCGAACCTACTGAGCCATCTCTACCATGACATATCAACGTTGTCACGGATAACTAAATTGTTAGCATGGTTGTATTAGAACTCATGGTACTTTGGTTGTTTTGAGAAATTTTTGCATGTTTGTATTAGAACTCGTGGTACTTTGGGTGTTTTGAGAATTTTTGTTGGTGTTCCACCAAATTATAATGATGCATTCTGTTTTTAGTTGTACCAAATTTAAGTATTGTTTGTCAATGCTATTCCACCAAATCAATAAGGATCTATTCAGTACTTATGGTCTAATGTCTTTTTTATTTATTTTAAAAAAGTAGCAAATGGGCTTTATAACAGTAGGAAAGCATAAGAAAATGGGCTTTATTTTAAAAGGAAAGATACATCTTCAATATCAACTTTTGACAATACAAAAATAATAAGTATCTCAAGTGTCATAAATTTATAATCTCTTAAGTATTAAGGGTCAACGTATCCGTAGCGAGTGCATTTTCTTTAGGCATTATGATCACTGTATCCGTAATAGCTACATTCTCTACTCTCGAAAGTTGTTTAAACTCATCCACACACGCTTGGTATAGTTCAGTCATACGATATTGAACCCATTCCCAGGAACTCCACTGTATCCTAAGTTAACGGTCGATCACATACAACCAAATAGGTTCAATGTTTTAGTAGAAGCCCACTGAATTTTCCAATCGCATTTGGTACTGGTATGCTGAACATAAGTAGCGATTACCATGCAACTCAACACTCGAAAAACGCCAAAAAAATTAACTCATACCTTATTCGAAGCCTCCCTAACTTCAGTCTCACCCTTCATGAATAAATACTAGGTATGCTTTCACAAATATAAGCGTATAAACCTTGTTGGGGTTGTAGGAACATGATGGTTTGACAAATAAGTCTGACTAAGGTAGCAAGAATGTATGTGGAGTGTAGTGAGCAAATTTAAGTTTTTATTCTTAACGGTAATTATATACAAGGGTAAAATAGGTTATTCATGTTTAAAATCAGTATGAGGTTAAGAGAGCCGATTGTGGGATTCAAATAAAATCACCCTTACTATAAATATGATTCGCTTTTATCAATAAAGATTTATGATTTTAAGCTAAAAAAATATTTACAATCTTTAAGGATTCAAAAAAATATTTATTTAGGGACCTAAATACATACATGTGGACTATGGATGAAAAAAAATCTTTAGCTTGGATTTCCAAAGGAATTTCTATTTAGCCTAAAATACAAAGAGAAGTGGCTTCTCACAAACACACTACTAAAGGATTTTAAAATGAATTTGACTGCCTTAAAAAGAAACTCAATGACACGAGCAAATTTTATTGATAACAAAAAATGATACACCTCGTTAAGAGGTGATAATGAGGCATATACCCCTCAAACTGCATCTAATACATAAGATAGAAGCTAGTAAAAAAGGAAAATAATAAATAAACATGCAATGCAAATACAAAATAAAACTTTGCACCTTTCAAGTCTTTAAAGAATTAAAAATAATTAATTATTCATTTATTATTGATATTATCAGTTAATTTTTTATTATTTTTTGGTTGTGTGTAAATACTACATCACATTTTTTAAAAGTTGAAAAAATTCATATGGGCTATAACATAGATTCGTTCGTGACTAAAGGTGTATGTGATTTGAACGTATGAAATCAATACTCTTTTTCATTAGGCCAAAGGAATTTCTATTAATCGACCTCAGAAGCAATTTTCTATTAACGTAAATTCCTTTAAAAAAAAAGAAAAGAAAAAAAAAGGAAAAGAAGCAAAAAATAGCCGCATACATTTGGCACTAGTACAGATCGAAACGACATGAAACAAATAGTAAAACACCAATAAGGGAAAAAACGTGTTGATTTCGAAGTCTGAGTTGGTCTTTAGACTCTCTCTCTCTCTCAGCACCCAAAAATTATAAAAATATCGCGGCCTTCACAATCCAAAACCTCTCTCTCTCTCTCTCTCTCTCTCTCTCTCTCTCTCCGTCCTCTATAAAAACACAACCTCTCCAAATCTCCCACCAAACCCCTACATGCGAAATCTCCAAGAAACCCCGTCTCATCAGTCTTCCTCCTAAACCAAAACCAAAACAGGACAAATAGAAATTAAAAAAAAAGAAAAAAAGAAAACCCAAAAACCACAAATGTTCCAAGAAACGGCGCCGTGTTGGTCGAGTATGGCTCAGTCGGCGTCGGCTCCGTGGACTCGGTTCGAGGACAAGCTCTTTGAGCAGGCGCTGGTCAGGTTCTCCGAGGACTTGCCCGATCGGTGGGAGAGGATCGCCGAGGAGGTTCCGGGCAAGACTCCCGAGGAGGTTCTGGAGCACTACGAAACTTTGGTTCACGATGTGTTGGAGATTGACTCGGGCCGAGTCGAGTTGCCGAGTTATGCTGATGACTCGGTGGTCGGTTGGGATACGGCTAGTCAGATCTCTTTCGGGTCCAAGCTCAATAAGCATGGCGAGCCCGAGAGGAAGAAGGGGACTCCTTGGACTGAACAAGAACACAAGTAATTTCTGAATTTCTACCTTCGTTTAATTTTTTATTTTTAATTCTGGGAAGAAATTTAGCATTTGGGTTTTACTTTATCGTTCCTTTAATCGAACAATTCAACCAAAGAAAGACAATATTTTGGTTTTCATGGTCATTTAATTAGGTACTTTATCGTACCTAATTTGGGTTTTGCTTGATTTATTGATTTTTGCTTCTCCAAAGTGTACAAATTCTATGAATGATTTGTATTTCTTTGTTTCTGATTTTCATAGTCCACACCTCTTTTGGCCTTCGTTTGGGAGTTGAAAATTTGAGGCAGGAACTCTTCTGCTTCTTTTGTTTATTGTAATTAAAATTTCTAAGTCAAATAGGAATAGCCTAAAAAAATATCTATCAGACTTGTAGCAGTGGGTTTATTTCAAATGTCTCAAATCTTTATTGTTTTATTATTCAAAGTAGTATTGCGGTAGATTCTCTACATTGCTGTTTCAAAATTTGAGTTTGTTGGGTTCTTGAAAAAGTTTTAACCAAACTGAACAGAAGGTAGAGTTCATTAATCACACATGATTGAGCTGGCAAGCCCCTATTTAGAATGTGATTTTGTTGCTAAAATTGGAATGAGGATGCAACTGCTGTTCTGTATTCAGTCTAAAATCATTTCAAGAGGACATATAGAAGACCAGATGGCAATGGAACTCTTCATTTGGGGATTTCAAGTAACTGAATTTCGTGCTTCATACAAGCTATATGCTTGTAAACTGTTGAAGTCACTTTGTTGTTTTTTAAATAATCCTTGTGAACCAGAGAATTATGGAAAAATAAATGCTTGTAAAGTTACCATGTTGACTTTAGAGACACAAAAGAGTTTCAATATGATGCTCTTCTGGCATTTTAGTGTTAACTTATTCAGTAATCTGTAAGGTTTACATAATTGAATCATTTTTCATTGATAGGTCATCGATACTGACAATCCTTAAATCTGTGGTTTTATTCTCATGATAATCTTATATTTGTTTTGGGTGTTGATGGTGCAATTATATACTTATAATTTCTGCATATTTTACTTTCCTGGAATGGGAAATATGTTGTGTTACTACTACAGATTTATAGATGATGCAGTTATGTTGGGAGATACTGATCCAAAATTACATTTCTACTTGCCAGTTTAATTCTAATGTTTCAGCACCTGATTTTCTTTTTGTATTCTAACAGGTTATTTCTAATTGGACTAAAAAAGTTTGGTAAGGGCGACTGGAGGAGCATTTCGAGGAATGTGGTTGTGACAAGAACACCAACCCAAGTGGCTAGCCATGCCCAGAAGTATTTTCTTCGCCAAAGCTCAGTGAAAAAGGAAAGGAAAAGATCAAGCATTCACGACATAACCACTGTAGAAAGTAACTCGGTAGCTGCCCCTGCTGATCGAAATTGGATTCCTCCACCTGGTGTTCCGGCTCAACAGCCTCCATTGCAACAGCCGCAGGGTCATTTGCCTGATCAAGGGGGTTCAATGGGGTATCAAGATTTTGGTTATCCGATGTAAAGATGCATTACAATCTCTTGCTGAATACTCTTGTATATAGAGGAAGTGACCTGCTATGACCAGTCCAATTTGTAAAGTTCTACATGTTTTTTGTTCTCTTTTAGATGGTAGGCGATTAGGAGAGCATTGTGAAGTGAGTTTGAAAGTTTAGGTTCTGTTTCAAAGTCTTTTGTGAAGAAAAGTATGAATTAATGGAGAATAGATGGGATCGTGTAGGAAATTACTATTTATTCATTCAACAGCAATAGAACCTCTTTTGCCCAGTGGCTTTTTCTCTGTGTTGAAGGTTTTTATTAGCATTATCAACCTCCTTACTGATATCCAAACGTCTCTGTTATGGCAGCTCCTTTTTAGTAGATATTTGAACTCCAATTTGCTTTGACTTTCTAGTTGTCTTCATACTGAGAGGTAGATATTAGCAGAATCTTAGGGCCTGTTCGGTGGTGTTTTTGGAACTCGTTTTCTGTTTTCATTCTCAGAAAACACCTGAGATTTGCGTTAGGTGGCGAGGTTGAGAGAACGCAGAAAACGTTTTCTGAATCCGTATTCAACCTTTTAGTTATAATTCTGAAAACATCTTTTTGATGTTTTCATTTTAAGAGAATGGATTCAACAAACAGAGCACCGCCACCCAGTCGAACCCAGAGCATCACCACCTGTACCAAATCGAAAATCAAATGCCACCATCAACAATATACATACCAAATTGAACCACCACCATCAAACCCAACCAATCTGCCTATCAAACCCAACAATATACATACCAAATTGCAGAGAGATGAGATGGGCTTTTGGAGAGAGAGAACGAGAGAGGTGAGCGATATTTAGCAGAGAGAATCGAGGTTCGGAGGAAGGAGGAGTGGGTGCTGCGGCATGAAGAGAGTGAAAAAGAGGGAAGTAAGAAGAAAAGAGAAAGGAGAGAAGAGGAAGAAAGAAACGGGCCTGGGATCGGGAAGGAAAGGAAGAAGAAAAGGAGATAAAAAAAAAAATTATGAATTTTTTATTCGTTAAATTATACATTTTTTAAAATTGTTTATAATAATTTTAGCCTTTAAAAAGTATCAGAATTAAAATAAAATACAAGAATTAGCAAAAATACACTTAGGGGTGTGTATTCAATTAGGATTTTAATAGATTGTAATCACATGATTTTAATGTAATTGATTTCAGCAGGATTTGTAATTACAAGATTTTACTTATGATTTTAATAGATTGTAATCACATGATTCTCTTATGATTCACTTAGGACTTTTTTGTATTCTCCAAAGAATCAAAAGATTTGCTCTAGGATTGCATATGAAATAAAAATTATATAATAACATGAATTAATTATGTCACATGGATTAATAACCAAATGATAAAAGTAATAACAATAACGTCATGTAGCAACTAGACATGGCTTAAGGAAAACAAAGTTATTCAAGACGTAATAAAACCCATTATTTTTCATATAATTTCATAAATAAACTTTCATGTTGTGTAGTCTCGGTGGTTCTATATGACCTCTCTTTGGTCTTTATTAATGAAAGTTCATCTTTATCAAAAATTAAAAATTAAAAAATTAAAAAAATCGTAGCACAGTGGTCCTTTTCTCCCAAGTGGGACTAGAAGACCGAAACACTACGCATTCAAACCAAGAAATAAAGCATCCTAACGCAAGGATATTTCCTACTGATGAACTTCTTCTAGTCATTCCACTGTCAACTATTTATTAGTATTATATATATTGAGGCCCTTAAAATCCACAATTTGGCCCAAATAAATTTTCGGCCCAATGCGATACCTTACCGATAAGAAACCCGATTTGGGCACGTGGAAATTCATCATATGCACTTGCACACATGCCACGCCAAGCGACACGCCACGCCAAGCAAGGAATTATTATTCTGCACCTAATCACGCCATAAGTTTAAGTGAGCCCAAGCCACACAAGATGCTTGGGGCTTGCTTGAGTGGGTTGTGGTATGGATGGTAATAAGTTGTCATGAGGCCCATTGATGAGCCGAGAAATGGAGGTTCTGGGTTGCTTGGGAGCCTCGGAACCCAAGCCAATTTCTTAGGCCCAAACATGTGGCTAAGCACAAAGAGAAAATATCCCAACCAAAATAGCCTATTGACTCAACCAAAAAGCCCAACACCTCAAGCCAAACCTTGGTGAAGTTGGCCTATTTATTTGATAAGCCAATCCATTGTTCTAGAAGGCCCACATAAATAAAATAAAGACTTGCAAAACCATCAGCACTTTGCTGGAAAACAGAAGCCACGAAGGAAAGTCTGAAAAGCTACTGAGAAGCTCCAGCACATGGGAGGAGCAAGTTTCAAGCGAAAACTTCCAAATGACCAAGGGATATTGGAGCGCAGATCACCCTTTGAACCAGCATGCATACCTATTTCTTTCCCTCATCAGACCTAGCCTTGGAAGAGGGGAGAAAAGAAGGAAAAAAGATGGCTGAAAATAGGAGTCTAAAACAGCCGCGGGAAAAGGGGCCTTGAGCTCCCAAAAATCCCTGATTTTGTGCAAATGGGTAGAGTGGATTTCACCAAGAAAAGATGATTGAAGAGATGATGGGAGAAATGAAGGGAAATACTTGACCAAATTGGATAGAAGACATTAGGGTTTCTTGGAAAATGTCAGCTTCCAGCAGCTATAAAAGGGGGCCTCTTCTACCCAACAAGCATCAACCACATCAGAGAGCAAGCTTCCTCTCTTACTCCCAAAACCCATAAATTTCGTGCTCAGCTCATCCTTTTCCCTTAGTTTTCCGTCTTGGCAAGCTGTTCTGACACTTGACAGAGTCTCTGTCAAGCTGTCGGAAAAACACTCAAGCCACCTTTTTCTCTCTTTTTCCTCATGCTCAACCAAACCTCTCTGCAAAATCCTTTCTCTCCAACCTTAATACCCCATCCTTCCCCTAGGAACACTTAGTTTTCTCTTCAATGCTAAACTCATGACAATTTTGCTCCCATGCCACAAGCTTCTCATGCCAAGCCAAGAATTTATCTGTAAGTTGCTGTTGTTTTGGTTGGTGAAGATAACCAAAATGCTTCCTAAGGCTCTACTGCCCTTTCGAAGCATTTTGGGGCTTGATTTTCAAACTCAGACAAAGGGGACAATTTCATCAATCTGCCTTTTACGGCAGCCCAGCCCATTTACAGCTGCCGGAAGAAAAAAGCCCCTACATAAATTGGCAACTCTACTGGGGATCAGGCCGTTATCTTCATCAATGCCTCCGAAGAAGAAGTCCAGAAGCAATAAACCAAAGAGAATAAAAAGATAAGAACATTTCCTCTTTCTTTGTTTTTTCCTTTATTGGCTATCCACTTTACACAACAAGCATAACATGAGTTACTGACATGTGCCTTTTGCTTGTGCCTTAGATCTTCATTCTCAAGCAAAACAAGATCTTGTAAAAGGGCTGGGGGCTTAGGCAAATCCATCATTCATACCATTGAAGCGAACTACACACACAAACTCCAAAATACTTGGGGGCTTCGTGCCAAGCAAATCTGTAAAAAAGAAAAAAGAGGAGTCAAAATTCAGTTCCAAATGACTTGGGGGCTTCCAATTAAAAAAAAAAAAAAAAAAAAAAAAAAAAAAAAAAGCAAGCACAGCACTTCAAAGTTTCTCATGCTAAACCAAGCTATGCCTCGGTTCCAAGAGATGTGATTCAACATTATTCACATATTCAACCAAGTCCAAGCTATATACATTCATTCACCACTGTTTCCACCACTTGCTTTTTTTTTTCAAACCTTCTTAGCCTCTACCCGATTTCAATCCATCCTTACAACAATTAAACAACCTCATTGCACCTCTAAAAGAACACTTGAAGTGACCTCAACGACTAGCTTGTTCTTCTCATGCTTTGGAACCTCTAAATCAAGTCTGAAAAAAAGATACAGACGCTGGAGAGTTCAACAAACTCATTACATCTGTGAAAGTGACCAAAAACTCACCTTTATTCTATCAAGTTCCCATCAAATCAGTAAGAATATGGCATTCCTCATGCTTTGGAACCTCTCAATCAAGCCTGAAAAAGAAACAATGGAGTACGTTGGCTAGATCAGGTGCTGGAAGGGAACTCGTAAACGAAAAGGGGGTGCCAGAAGCATAGTCACTATTCAAGTCTGAAAAAAAGATACAGACGCTGGAGAGTTCAACAAACTCATTACATCTGTGAAAGTGACCAAAAACTCACCTTTATTCTATCAAGTTCCCATCAAATCAGTAAGAATATGGCATTCCTCATGCTTTGGAACCTCTCAATCAAGCCTGAAAAAGAAACAATGGAGTACGTTGGCTAGATCAGGTGCTGGAAGGGAACTCGTAAACGAAAAGGGGGTGCCAGAAGCATAGTCACTATTGAGGCATAATGTTTTCCAAAGACAAGTTGCAAGAGACCAAAACTCACTTTCATGCTATCAAAATCCTAGAAAATTAGACATCTCATGCTTTTTCATGCTTTGGAGCTTCTAAACAAGAGAATACGTTAGCCAAAATCAGACGCCAGAAAGGTACTCATACACAAACAGAGACGCCGGAAGCATAGTTTTATCAAAGTGCAAGCAAACTCATCTGTCAAGCATTTGACAAAATTCACAGGGCGTGATACCAATTCACATGCCAAGAAATTTCATTTCATTCAAGCATTCCAAGCAATTCAGGCATTTCAAAGCAAATTGAAGAACTCATGCTCTTACGACAATACCATTCCACTTCATGCTCTCACGATAATATTGCTCAAGAACATGCTCTAGCAATACTCAGATCAGTACTCAATGCCAATAGAAAGGACATGCCAAATTCTCAACAAAAAGCAGCATGCCAAGCAAAACTTATACACAAGCTTTCCAACCATCCTAGCTAGAACATCCCACCTTTACAAAATCATTATAAATCAAGCTTACAACCAACAAATCCCAAACTTTCCAGATTAGAACTAGACATATCAAGATTCATTTTCCCAAAATTTCGTTGCATTTCGAGCCAGGGAAGCATG